CTTGTTCATTGCCCAACTTTCACATGCAAATGGGGCAATTGAAAACACCATGGCTTAGGGCTCTAGGCCCAAGGAAATGAGTAAGTGTGCCTGCGGGAAGGAGGCTGGCTTGCAGATTGTGCCCTGTGGACATTTTAAATGAATATATATATTTTTGTTTTATATGTGTGCTGTGGGTTAATGCGCTCGCTATTAGATCTGCAAGGTCAGCAGTTGAAGCTCACCAGCTGCTCCTTGGAAACCCTATACAGGGTCCCTATGGGTCAGAACTGACTCGATGGCACTTAACGACAACAACAATATCAAATATTTTTGCTTTATTCATTTGTGAAATATAAGATGTAAAAGGGGAACCACAGGGAGGAAGTAGGGTGTCTGTTATTGCAAGGAGGGGATTGTAATCATTGAGTTGAAACTAAGTGCATCATTTGTTAAATTTGTAAAGCTGATGATCTTGTCTGTAAACCTTCAGTTCACTCAGTTCACAATAAAAAGTTAAAAAAAAATTTTAAAGGACCTAAGAAGAGTCAATATCTTCCTAAATATCTATCTTTGAAGCAGAATATCCTTGAGTCCTGATATTTAAAAATTGATAATAGCAGATACAGTTAACTCACAGACACACATCAATTTCTATGTTCGTATAAATTAAGGAGCTCTGGTAGCATAGTGGTTACGAATTGGACTGTGAACCGCAAGGTCATCAGTTTGAAACTACCAGCTGCTCCACGGGAGAAAGATGAGGCTTTCTGCTCCCATAAAAATTTACAGCCTTGGAAATCCTGTTCAGGGTCGCTATGGGTCGGAACCGACTCAAGGGCACTTAACAACAACAACAACATAAATTAAGGTTAAAGACCACATTGAGATGAATGCTATCAGATGTAGTTTTATTTTAATTCTACAGAAGAAGGCAATTCTTTATTAGATTAAATATTTGTACCATCTAAAATTTATGATCTAAAATGGTTGCTATAGAAACGACCAGATTTACTAGTCAGAGCCTAGCAGAACCCCTGAGACTAAGGCTCTGAAACACCCTTCACTCACCCCCACGGCTCAATTTTCATTAAAATAGTGTCATTGTTAAGTGCCTTTGAGTTGATTCAAACCCATAGCAACCCTGTATTGGGTTTTCAAGGTAGGTTTGGATTCATAGTGATCCTGGTGGGTTTGAACTTCTGACCTTGTGGTTCGCAATCTAGTGTGGATCATACAGCACAACACTCAGGAGTCCAAATACCAACACCCTCCCACCCTCACCCAAAGTCCTGATGTGGCGCTGTGGGTTAATGCACTGGACGGCAGTCAGTTAGAACCACAAGGTCGGCGGTTCAATCACACCAGCCTCTCCTTGGAAATCCTATACAGGGTTGCTATGGGTCAGAACCAACTGATGGCACTTAACAACAACAACCTAAAGTCAGGAGTCCTGGTGTGGCGCTGTGGGTTAATGCACCAGACTGCAAAGCAGGTCAGCAGTTGAAGCTCACCAGCTGCTCCTCGGAAACCCCATACAGGGTCATTATGGGTCGGAATCGACTCAACAGCACTTAACAACAACAACAACCTAAAGTCAGGGCCCTGAGGCACAGCAGTCAATAAGACAGATTAACTCCCAAAGCTTGAGAGCGGATACTGACATGTAGGACTCAGACCACAAACAAAAGACATGCACAGTGTAATGTCTCCTAGTGAGAAAGCAAAGCCATGGATTCCAGCTCATAGCAACCGTGTATGACAGAGTAGAACTGTGCCCTAGGGTTTCTAAAACTGTAAATCTTTACGGAAACAGACTGACTTATCTTTCTCTTGTGGAACAGCTGGTGAGTTTGAACTACTGACCTTTTAGTGAACAAACAGCCCACCGCTTAACCCCCATGTGTCACCAGGGACCCTTCATAGCGAGACCAAACCAAAACCAACCCACTCCTCCATCGTATCAATTCCAACTCATAGTGACCATGTATAGGGTTTCCAAGGCTGTACATCTTTACGGGAACAAAAAGCCTCATTTTTTTTTACCTGAGGATCAGCTGGTGGGTTTGAACCACCAACCTTGTAGTTAACAAGCAGTCCAGTGTTTATCGTACAGTGCCATCTGGGCTCTTTTCATAGTAAGAAGTAATATGAAAACCAACAAGAAGAGCAAAGCTGAGATGAGAGGAACAAGACATCTCTTCTGCGTAAAACAACCTTCGGCTTTCCTTCCTCCTGTCTACCCTCTTTTCGTTCTCCCTACCTCCTTCTCATCTGCCAGAAACTGGCTGAGCCAAGTGCACTAACAGATGCCATCTGTTCTGGAGTGGAGCCCGTGCCAGCTCCAGCGTCTGGACTTTTGGCACAGAGCCCTGGAACAAGGAAATTCCACACAGGCCCCACCTCAAGGTGGGGAATCCTCCAGTCTGGCTGAGGGCTTCTGAAAAGGGGAAGCCAGTGCAAGTGAATTGGGGTTCCTGGAGGAGGTGGAGGTCTACAGGGCGTGGTGGGGGGGTTGTAAACAACCTATCAGACTGAGGAAGATGGATGAAAATAAAAATATCAATTAAAACCATCAGCAGGTTCAAAGCTTCTGCTCTGTGTCAGGCTTTAGTTAAATGTTGGACATTTCTCATCATGCTCAATCTAGTGCTTCAAGTATTATTAGCACATCTAAGGGTCAAGGAAGCATTTAACCCTTTTAGAGATGGAGAAACTGAGGATTGTCACTTCTATAAAAAAAAAAAAAAAAGAACAGGCAAATATTTTTTTGAGATCAAAGATTTTTAGTGGTTACCAGGAGTGGGAGAGATTAAGAGGGGAATGGTTAACAAACATTGAAAAATTGAATTGATTTAGGGTAGGGTTGCACAACCAATAATGTAATTTCTGTCAATAAGTTATACACCTGTAAAAAGTTGAATTAGTAAAAGTGTGACAGATATATTTGTAACTATGACATACACACAAACACAAAGAATAATTGCTGGGGCTACTTATGTACAAATCCAAATACATGGGATCTGCTTCTTTGGTTTGGGGGCTTAGGGTCATGGTTTCATGAGACATCCAGTTAATGGGTTTAATAACGTGTTTACTGCTTCTGTGGTTGCCCGGGGGTCTTAAAAGCTTACAATCTTCTTTTTGCCTCAAGGTCCTCTCCTCTCCTTGAGATGGGCTGAATTTACAATCTCCCGTCCTCTTACCAGCTGTCCCCTTGTCTAAGCCTCAGTTTCCTTTATTTGCAAAACAGAACTGCGGAGAGCAATTTTATACGGGACCCGGGCAGTCGGTTCCGACTCATAGCGACCCTGTATAGGGTTTCCAAGAAGCGGCTGATAAATTTGAACCAGTAAGTCTTGCAGTGTGATTTTAGGCAAATTACCTACGTTCTCCGGGCCTCTTTCCTTTTGTATAAAACGGAGACCATAAACGATAGTGCCTCTTGGGGGTTATTCTGAGGAATTAATGTGTAAATCGACATATAAAGCACTTAGAACTGTGCAGTTATGTTGTTGTGATTGGCAACAGGGAAGGAAAGGGGAGGCGGGGCCAAGCCAAGAAGGCCCCGGAGAGTCTGGGGCGCCCCCTCCCCCTACAAGTAGTATTTGTGCGGGGCATTTGAGGGAAGGGATTGTTAAACCGACCCATGTGTTCGGGAACCCCCGCCCATCCCCACAGACCGTGGATAACACAACAGGTCGGTGCCTGGGCGCTAATATCGGCGTTCAATGCTCCCTCCCTGCAGCCGCTAAGGGGCGGAACCCAGAAGGCAACTGCCCCGCCCTTATGCCCGCCCCTATACCCGCCCCCTCGCGCTGCAGGCCGGAGGCAGTGAGAAGGACGCGGAGACGGGCTTGTAGCCCCCTACTCTCTACAGGCCTGGTCCCCACTAGCACCTATCTTACTGAGCCTCCCCAGAGCTTGGGCGGCGGTGTCCCTGGCGGCTGCTGTTACTGGGGGGAGGGGGTCCAGGAGGTCCTAGCGTGCAGCTGGGTACGGTGAGTGAGGGGCACAGTCCCTCGCCAGGGTGTTGACGTTGGGGATGGGGAGGCAAACCCTTGGTGAGGAAATTGGTTCAACCAGGTTTAGAATGACAGGACTTGGGGGGCCCCACGCAGCTCGTGGAGCGCGAAGAATCTTCTTTGTGATCGTGTTGAGTGTATGTGTGTGTATGTAAGGGGAGGAGTTGGGGCGTTATATAGGGGGGGGGCATGTAGAGGAGGACTGAGGTAAACCAGGAGGTGTTTGAGAAGCTGGTTAGTGTGCAGGAAGTTGGGGAGCACGTTATGGGAAGGGTGCGTGAACAGGTAAATGCTTGGGGCAGGTGTGCAAGGGGAGAGATGTGTGGGAAGGCCGCATGGTGCGTCGTGGGGGAGGCGGTTGTGATGTGGTGGGGATTAGGTGTCGTTTGCTATAAATGTGTAAGAAGCCTACAGACCTGGGAAGGGTGTTTTCTGGGAGCTGGTGTTTGGTGTAAATATGAGAGGAGCCCCTGTGAGATGCACAGGGAACGGGGTTGTGATCATAAGGGTATGTGGGGCAGGAGACTTGGGGTACACAGATGGACAGGCCTAGGAGACCTGGGAGAGGTGTGTGCGTGTGTGTGTGTGTGTGTGTGTGTGTGTGTGTGTGAAGTTCAAGGGGTCCTTGGAGGAATGAGTTTGTGAAGGGTATGTGGGCTTGGAAGAAGTGTATGAGATCAGATGATGTGTGAACCCAAGATGGGTATGTATGGGTGAGATACATAGAGCAAGAAAGTATGCATGGCATGGTTTGGAATGAGTGTATAACAGGTACATGGCCTGAGGTGATTAGATCCTTCTCTCTCTGGGCCTCAATTTTCCCATCTGTAAAATAGGCCTGAGGGGCATTGAACTAACTAGTCTTTGCTTTGCGTGTCTCAAGAGACTAGTCTAGGGGTGGGTCAGTGGAAGGGTGAAGGTAAGACTTATAAAACTTAGCTTTCTCTTCTTCCTCCTCCCCAGGACACCCATCCCAGAGCCTTCCCCCCTGGGGCCATGGATAGCCCCAGTCTTCGGGAGCTTCAGCAGCCTCTGCTGGCAGGCGCCGGCTGTGAGCCCCCTGCCCAGAAGCCAGGCAAGCCTGAGTTGGGGCCCTCCTTGAGAGAGACCACCTTTGCAGAGTCTCTGAGGGGTTGGCAGCCCTCACCACCACCTCTTCCCTCTGTGAGCGCTGGCCTGGGGGAGCTGGGGCACCCTGAACTTGAGGTAGGAGCAGCAGACTTTAGAGGGAGCTCAGGGAGGGGGATATGGGTGACCATATCTGTGACCAACATCTGGCAGGCTGAGCAGCACAGAACCTGGTGTCTCACTTCCTCACTGTATGTGGGCTTCCTAACTGTGGCTCCTCTGATTCCTTTGCCTTTATTCTCCAGATTGGTCTCTCATCTTTGTTTTCTGGCCTCTGGCTCTCTGTATGTCTTCCCTGATCTCTGTCTCCCTTGTTCTCTCTCTGTCTGTCTCGTTTCCAAGCTGACACACCTCTGGCCTCTGTCAGCCATGGCCTCTTTTTATCAAAGTAAATGTCACTTAAGAGTTTTTTTTTTCCCCTCTAGAATATATATTTTCAAGCATGTCTTTCATTTCTTAAATATGTTTTTTCCAGTTATTGTTACACCATGACAACTCACCCCAAAGCTCAATAGTTTAAAATAACCACTTTAAAGTTGAAATAGTAAAGTTTAAAATCTTTACTATTATGTGCCTTAAGCTGGGCTCTCTAGGGAAGCCACAGTGAAGTTTTTATATATGTGTATATAAAGAGAGGTGTTTTTTTTTTCCGGAGCTCTGGTAGCGTAGTGGTTACGAATCGGGCTGCGAACCTTAAGGTCAGCAGTTTGAAACTACCAGCCGCTCCGCGGGAGAAAGATGAGGCTTTCTGCTCCCATAAAGATTTACACCCTTGGAAACCCTGTACAGGGTCGCTATGGGTCGGAACCGACTCGACGGCACTTAACAACAACAACAACAACATAAAGAGAGGTTAATATCAAGGAAATGGCTCATACAAGGAGGTGGCCAAGTCTCAAGTTCATGGGTCAGAAGCCAGGATGGAGGCTTCTGACTCACATGGCTGCAGGGCTGATGAACCCAGATTGGCAGTTCAGATGCCAGGCAGCCAGGTGGGTCCAGCAGGTAAGAAGGTCAGCGGATGACAACTCCCAAGTTATAGCGCCCAGGCTACTTGCTCAAGTCCAAAGAACCAGAGGTTGGAGGATGAGCCAGATGCAAGAACCAGATCCAGCAGAGAGCAAGCAAGTTTTGCCTGAGTGTAGACTAATTTGGAAGCAGAACACATCCTTGAGGAAGCTTCCCTTCAATTGACTGACTGGCTGCTCATAGCAGACCTCATCAAGGAGTTGATTACATTATAGTAAATTGCCTCATGGGGGACTAGTTACATCTCAATTGCCAAACCTCTGAGAACCTTGACCAGGTCAAGTTGACACAAAAGTTTAATTAACTATCACTTTATGCTTCCTAGTTTGTGTGGGTCAGGAATTTGGAGAGAATTTGGCGGGGCCGTTCTGCTTGGATCTTTTAGATAGTTGCAGACGGCAGGAGCTGGAAGAGTGTGGGGTTGAAGCAGCTGGAGGCTGCAGTATCTCTTTCTCTTCATGCAATATCAGGCCTTCTCACGCCTTTCTGTATGGGCTAGTCTGGACTTCCTGACAACATGGCGGCTTCAGGGCATTCAGGCTACTCACATGCCCCCAGCATGAGTGATTCAGCAAAGCCTGAAGCTGTCTCACCTTTTCTGATTTCGCCTTGGAAACAATGTAGTATCCCTTCTACCGTATTCTATTAGTTATAGTGAGTCCCACCCAAGTCTGCCTGGATTCAAGGGTAAGGGATCTAAGCGTCACTTTGCATGAGAGGAGTGTCAAAGTCACACTGTAAGAAGAGTTTGTAGGATGGGAGAGATTGGTGTGGTCATTTGTGGAAAATACAATCTGCTACACATGATAAGCATCATTTTTACATTGGTCTGTGTGTGCACACTGTGAGGGCCACTTGAGTTTCTGCTGGTTCTCATTCTTGGTACCTATGTCTCTAACTATCTTTGACTGTATACCAGTCATTGTGTTTGAAAACATTTTAGGGATAATTTGAACCCTAGAATGAAGGTCCCTTCCTCCAGAGAGGATTTGGTTGGATTCTGCCAGCTGCCTGGGACACTACCAGTTAGAGATCATTTTGAATCTAGTTCAAGGTTTGAGTGAAAGCTTAAAATGTCTGAGATTGACAAATGCCTGCAGGGCAAAAGAGTCCTTCTCTGCTCATTTAACTTCTCTGTTTAATGATTTTTCACTTCAGTTTTGGCTTTCCAGTAATTCCCTACAATTTTGTCAGCTCTTTGATGCTTGTACAATTAAAAAAAACATATATTTTATCTAAAATCTATAGTTGTTTTCAGTGGGCAGGTTGGGCCTCTTGACTTATGCCATGATTAGCAGATGGCAGAGCAGCTTTCCCTTGTCCCCATCTTTTTGCAGGTTCCTGTTCCTGATGTCATCTGTCTCCACCTTCAGGGGGTTTTAACTCTGTATTTATAAGCAATTGTGTTGTCTATGATTGGGCCTGTGAAACCCTTGAAATTGAACTAAAACCGTTGGTTTTAGATGGGACTTTACTTGGCAGACACAGTCTACAGCTTTCCTTCCAAGGGTTCCAGGTACAAAAAGTCAAGAGCTCATCTCTTGGAATGTTTTTTCTTTTTCCTCTCTCTCTGAGGAGCCTTGAATTTGGTCTTTGGGAGTATGGGGAGCAAATCAGTAGGGTAGGGAAGGTGATGGAGATGCCCATCTAGGACTTCTCCTGCCCATAGGATGTGTCATCCAGTGACAGTGACTCAGACTGGGATGGGGGCGGCCGTCTCTCCCCACTTCTACCCCATGACCACCTCGGCTTGGCTGTCTTCTCCATGCTCTGCTGTTTCTGGCCTGTGGGCATCGCTGCATTCTGCCTGGTCCAGAAGGTCAGTCTGTGTGTGTGTGTGTATGTATTGTGGTGCCTCTATATATATGGGAATGTGTACTGTATAGGGTCTCTGTGTGCATGTGTATATGTATTGAGTGATTCTCCAAATGTGTGTGTATTGTGTCATGCCTATTGTACAGTATCTCTGAATATGTGTGTATATTATGTGGTATCTCTGTATATGTGTGTATTATGTGATACTTCCAAATGCATGTTTGTATTCTGTGGGTCTGTTTCTCTGTGTGTGCATCATGTGGTCTCTGTGTGTATTGTATAGTGTCTGCCTGTGTGTATGGTGTTATGTCTCCAAATGTATATTAGTAGTCTGTGGGTCTTTGTATATGTGTGTATTATGTAGTGTCTTTGTGCTTGTATTGTGTGATGTGTCCAAATTAATGATGGTATTCTGTGGGTCTCTGTATGCATGTGTATTGTACTGTGCAGTGTCCTGCATGGGAGATCTCTGCATGCGGGTGTGTGTTATATAGTGTCTGTATGTGCATGTATATTGTTTGGCGTCTCTGTGTGCTTGGGGGCGGGTCTCTGTATGTGTGTATATTGTGTGAGACCCCTGTGTGTATGAATAATGTGTGGCATTCGCGTGTGTGGTGTATGTGTCTGTGTGTGCATGTGTGTTGTATGATGTCTCTGTGTGTACTGGGTGGTAGCTGTGTATGTGCATGCATGTGTGTGTCACCATGTATATCAGCAGGGTGTACATTCAGCAGACATTGCTAGAACATCTGCTGGGGACCTGGCTCTGTGCTGGGTTCTTCAGTACAAGAAACAAAACCACACTTGATATTCAGAAGGGATTTACTGTTGATTCAGCTCATCTTTGCTGAGTGCCTACTGTGTGTGTCAAAGGAGCCCTGGTAACCTAGTAGATTGTGAGCTGGGCTGCTAACCAAAAGGTCAGCAGTTCACATGGCATCACCTAGTTGTTCTGTAGGAGAAAGATGAGACTTTCTGCTCCAGTAACTATTTACAGCCTCAGAAACCTGGTCTAGGGTTGCTATGAGTTGGAACCGACTCAGTGGCACACAGCCACCACCACCACCACCACTGTGTGTCAGACCCTGCTCTAGATACAGGAAATACAGCAGTGAACTAAGCAAAGCCCAATGGAAGTGAGATTTTAGTTGAGACCAACAATAAACAAGTAAGTTTATATAGTAAGTAGCATGCTAAGGGGAGTCCAGATGGTGCTGTAGTATAAACACTGGACTGCTAACTGTTAGGTCAACAGTTCAAACTGCTCCTTGGAAATCATAGTATACAGAGTCACAATGAGCCAGAACCAAATCAACAGCATTTAACAACAACAAAGAGGAAAATCAAACAGAGTGATTGGAAATGTGGATGGCAGTAGGTGGCCTAGGAAGGTCTCAGGAGATGGTGACATTGGAAAGAAGGGATGAAGTAAGGCACCTGGGTACCTGAGAGAAGAACATTCCAGAAAGAGGGACTAGCCTGGGTGGAGGGTCTTGAGGCCAGTGTGTTTGCTGTGTCTCCAAGGAGCAGGAAGGAGGCCCAGGCTGGAGTAGAGGGAGGGAGGGAGAAGGTGGCAAGAAGTGATGGATAGGTCTGGTCCTGTGGAGCCTTCTGGGCCACAGTAAGGACTTTGGCTGCCTCTCTAAAACCAGAGCCATAGGAGAGCAACAGGCTGAGGGGGGACTTGAACTGGCTTAGGATGCCTCTGGCTACCTGTAGTGACAACTTTAGAGGGCAAGGGGAGAAGAGGGAAGATCAGTAAGGGAAAATGAGGACTAACATAAAGGTTCAAATTCCAAACCATTGCCACTGAGTTGATTGACTCATGGCGACTCTACATAGGGTTTCTGAGAATATAAATCTCTGTGGGAGCAGACAGCTTCATCTTTCTAGTGAGGAGCAGTTAGAGGATTTGAACTGTGGACCTTTCAGCTAGCAATCCAAAGCCTCACTTACAGGGCCATCAGGGCTCAGGTTCTTGTAAAATTGCTGGAAGAGCTGAAGGAGCTGGGCCTTTTGGAACAATTCTCCATAGAACACCCTGGACCCGCCCCCTGGGGAACTGATGCCTCAGAGGCAGCTCAAACCTGCTTTGAGGCTGGAGAGCGGACCTCCACAGCTGTGATTCAGGAGCATGACAGCAGGAAGCTGGTACTACCACCTGTCTTGCTCTCCAGGAGGCAGAAGAAAGCACTCCTGGACTACCTTCATAGCCAGCAGTAACTGCTAGGTGACTCATTCTTCCAAGTCTCACCCAACCTCTCATTCACACTCAAACCCTAGCTGCAAAGGACTCTGGGAAATGTAGTTTTTAAGCTCTCCGACGTCTAGTGTGGCGCTATAGTATAAGCACTCCACTTCAAGATCAGTTTGAACTGCAAGGTCGGTGGTTCAAACTCACCAGTTGCTCCTTGGAAACCCTATACAGGGTCACTATGAGTCGGAACCGACTGATGGCACTAACAACAACAACTTCTCCATGTAGCCAGAGGAAATTGGATTTAGAGAGCCAGTCCAAGGATGGAATACACAGGAGAGTAGAAATCTGCACAGTCCTGGCCCTTATGGAATTTAAAGACCTCGTGGGTTTCACAGATGTTATCTGTAAACACAGTAAAATTGCTGGTTGGTCAGACATGCAAAGCAGACGTAGGTTGTGCTAAAAAAAAAAACCCAGCTGTGTTTCCCGTGGATTCTAACTCATGACAACCCCACGTGCGTCAGAGTTAAACTGTGCTCGAGAGGGTGTTCAGTGGCCGATCTTGCGGAAGTAGATTGGGAGGGCTTTCTTCTGAGGTACCTCTGGTGGACCTAAACTGTCAACCTTTAAGTTAGCAGCTGAGTGTGTTAATCTCTTGCATCAGCCAGGAGGCTCTGTGTGGTGCAAGGAGGCATTGCCTAGTGTGGTTTTATCCAGTTGTGAAGGTGAGGGAATATTCCACAAGAAAACGATGCTAAAGCTGAAATCTGAAGGCTCAGGAGTTAGCGAGGCAAGGGTGAGACACATCACTCGGTGGGCAACTTTTGCTCAGATGTCACTTCATCACTGACCCATCCCATCGCTCTCTGACCCTCTTATTCAATACACTGTGTTGATCACTACTTGGAATTATCTATGTATTTAGCTCCTTCTTTCCGGCAGGTATCCTCTGCCTCCCTCCGCTGTTTATCACTGAGTCCCTGCTCCATAACATATTGTAAGTACTCACGTATTTGAAATGCATGCCTGCAATCAAGCCAAAATGAATGAATGAATGAATGCAGGACAATGCAAACTAGCACTAATAGAAATATAATCTGAACCACCTACGTCATCTAAAGCTTTTTTATTGTGACTTGAGTGAAGGTTCACTGAGCAGATGATCAGTTTTACATTCCACAAATCATACACTTCCTTTCACCTCAATGATTGCTGTCCCCTCAATGTTGTACCACTTACCCTGCTTCCTCCCTGTCTTTCTTGTTTCCCTTCTTTCTTCTTTTCCAACCCTCCTGAACTTTTTGTCCTTAGGTAAATGCTTCCATTTAGTAAGCACATTTTTAAAGTAGTAAGAAGTAGTTGCAGTTCATTTGAATAGTACAGTGAAAATTGTGAGAGCCAGAACTCAACAGGACTGTCTTGTTTTTTCAGATCTTACAAATTTTTCACCTTTGACAGGGGTGCTTTTCTGTCACTGTTTTTTAAGAATCCTGTCTCATAAACACCTGGTGAGTTTTCCTTTTCTGAGAGATCTTCACCTTGCATAGGCGCTGACTTTCACAGATTTTACTATTTTACCTAACCCGATGTATCTCCTTCGTAAAGTGGAGGGTCAGCCAAAAAGAGGCAGACCCTCAGTGAGATAGATTGACACACTGGCCACAACAATGGCCTCAACCATAGCAATTATGAGGATGATGCAGAACTGGGCAGTGTTTCTTCTGATGTACGTAGGGTCGCTATGAGTTGGAACTGACTCAAGAGCATTTACCAACAAATACATATCCAAAACATAATCATTTCAACATACAATCAATATAAAAATTATTGGTGGTATTTTACACTCTCTTTTTTATATCACGTCTTTGAAACCCAGTGTGCATTTTTCACACTTACACATGTTGATTCGGAGTAGCCACATACAACTCTGTGGCGGCTACCATATTGGGCAGCGCAGATAGAAAACCTACTCGTCATCACTGTAAGGTCTCTTGGATGGAACTGGTCTAGACCGTGTGAGGGATCCTGGTCTTTCCCTCCCAAGAGCATTGGAGAGCTATGGAAGGGTTTAGGGCAGGGTGGGAGGGATAGGTGACCTATTCAGATATGCATTTTTACAAGATCATAGTGGAATGAGGCCGTGGTAGAATTCTTGCCTTCCATGAGGGAGACTCAGGTTCAATTCCCAGCCAGTGCACCTTCTGAGCATCTCCACTCAGTGGAGAATTGTGTGTGTTGCTATGATGCTGAACAGGTTCTAGCGGAGCTTCTAGACTTAAAATGGACTCAGAAGAAAGGCCTGGCCATCTACTTGCAACAATCAGCCAGTGAAAACCCTATGGATTACAAAGGTCTGCTCTACAGCCAATCATGGGGATGGCGTAGGATCGGGGGCCAACTGAACAGCAGCTACTAACAGGAAGTAGGTGCCAAGAAGAATAGTGGTGAGGCTCCTTGGACTGAGGCACAACAGAACAAAACACTGCCCGATCCTGGGCCAACCTCACAATTGAGCCCATTTGAAGCTGCCACTTTGCCAATCCATCTCGCTGTGGGTCTTCCTCTTTTTCTCTGACCCTCCACCTTACCAAACATGATATCCTTCTCCAGCGACTGGTCCCTCCTGACAATATGTCCGAAGTATGGGAGACAAATTTTGGCCATCCTGGCCTCCAAGGAGCACTCTGACTGCCTTCTTCCAACACAGATCTGTTGGTTCTTTTGGCAGCCCATGGCACTTTCAATATTCTCCTCCAACACCATAACAGTGAATAAGGAAGACCGTAGAAGAACTGATGCCTTTGAGTTATACCCACATTGGAGTTTCACATTTTCTCAATTTACCCTATTAACAATCACTCACAACTAAACCATATAATCCATCAGCATCCTCCCCCATCTTTTCTTACCCAGATCCATCAGGAAAAAGCCATTCGGTGTGAGTTTACAAAGACTGTGGCTAGAAGAGACATTCAGTAATTCACTCTACCACATTCCCAGTAACCTGGGGTAATAGTGTTTGTGCATTGTGAAGGGGATGGAGGCTCAGCTGAAAGGAGGCTGGTCATAAATTGATCATTGTTGAAACTGGGTGCTGGGGACCTAGGAGCTCATGATAAGCCCATTACCAAAGTGAGTTCTGAATCAGAGTGACCCCTATAGGACAGACTAGGACTGTTCCATAAGGTTTCTGAGACTGAATCTCTACAGAAGCAGATAGCCTTATCGTTCTCCTGTGGAGCAGCTGGTGGGTTTGAACCGCTGACCCTGCAGCTGACAGCCCAAAGCTTAACCCACCACACCACTTATTTATTTTGGGGATGTTTGGATTTTTCTATAATAAAATTACCAAATTATGTGCACACTTGGTAAGAACACAAAATATTTGCACATAAGTGGTAGGAAACTGGGTGTAAAAGAAGAATGCATTTAAAAAAAAAAAAAGGAGCCCTATGCCTTGGAAGAAAAATATGTGGAGAAGAGATTTGCATAGAACATCCAGGGCTAAAATGAGACCGGTCTCCTGGAGTGGACAGGGGGCAGCTCAGCTTAGTGGTTAAGAATCTGGATTCAAATCTTGGATCTCCCACATTTGAGATTTTGGGGGAAGCCACTTAACCTCTCTGTGCCTCATTTTCCTTACCTGTGAAATGGAAATAATTCCTTGTAGGATTCCTGGTGTGGTGCTGTGGGCTAATACCCTGGACTGCACGGTAGTTTGAACCACAATGTCTGCAGTTCAAGCTCCCTAGCCACTTCCCAGAAACCCTATATGGGGGGCTGTGAGTCGGAACTGATTCAACAGCACTTAACAACAACAGGGCCATTGTGAAGACCAAATGAGCTTGAAATATATATAGAGTCTTTGTGTGGCACTGTGGGTGAATGCGCTGACTGCAAAGTTGATTTGAAAATTAGTGTCGGCAGTTCAAGCTCACCAGTCGCTCTTAGGAAACCGTAGACAGGGGCCCAATGAGTTGGAACCAACTTGAGGGCACTTAACAACAGCGTATATAAATACATATATTTGTTGAGTGCCTTCAAGTCAATTCCGACTCGTTTTGTTGTTAGGTGCCATCAAGTCGGCACTGACTCATAGCGACCCTGTGCACAACAGAACGAGAAACTGTCCCGTCCTGGGCCAACCTCACAATTGTTGTTTGAGTCCATTGCTGCTTACCACTATGCCAATCTATCTCGCTGGGGGGCTCCTCTTTTTCTCCAATCCTCCGCGTTAGCAAACATGCTATCCTTCTCCAGTGACCGGTCCCTCCTAACAATATGTCTGACTCATAGTGACCCTATATAGGGTTTTCGAGGAGTGGATGGTGAGTTTGAACCACCAACCTTACAGTTTAAACCGACCTTGCTATTAAGTGCTTATCCTACAGACCCTCAGAAACCCTATGCAGAGGGTTGCCATGTGTTGTTGTTTGTGTTGTTAAGTGCTGTTGAGTCGGTTCAGATTCATAGCGGCCCTGTTATAGAGTTTCTAAGGAGTGGCTGGTGAGTTTGAACTGCCAACCTTGCAGTTCAAACGGACGTTACAGCCCAGATGTGGCACTGTAGGATCAGCACTGGATTGCAAATTCCAATATATATTGTTAAGTGCTGTCGAGTTGCTTCCGACTCATAGTGACCCTGTATAGGCTTTCCAAGGAGCATATATAATTTATTTAATCAGTTGCCCAGTATCCCAGTGTCTGAGCCTCACCCATAGTAGGGACGCCATATATATTTGTGGAATATGTACGGTTAGGTTGGGAGGACAGGACTGGGGTGGGAGGGTTAACTGTGGGTGCTGTGGGAAGCAGGGTGGGGATGACGGGATGCCTGGGTCACTGTTGCTCACTTACTCTACAGACCAACAAGGCTTGGGCCAAGGGGGACTTCCAGGGGGCTGGGGCCGCCTCCCGCCGTGCCTTCCTGCTTGGGGTCCTCGCCGTTGGACTGGGAGTATGCATGTATGCCGCCGCCCTGGTGACCTTGGCTGCCTACCTGGCTTCCAGAGACCCACCCTAGCTGCCCCTGCAGCCCCCACTGTGAACCCAGAGACCGACACCCAGCGCACCTGTGGGCAGAGACAGAGAAACCCAGGTGGATGGGGTTGCGAAAGCAGCCAGAAATGGAAGCAAATTGGAACCGCCCCTCTTCTTTCTGGCCTTCACTCACCAGAAACGTGAGATTAAACACCAGACACTGTATCAGCTAAACCGCGTCTGTCTGTATGTGGGGATGGTGGAGGGAGAGGGGTGAGGGAACGGGCGCCTAAGATCCAGAAGGTACCAGCCAGCATGAGAGGCTGTGGTGGGTGGGCATCCCCAGGGTTTTTCCCAGTGCCTCCAAAATCCAGAAAGGTGGAGTCAGCAGTACCAATGCCCCCTTGAAGCATGTTGTCTTCACAACTGGCCTGGTGTAGAACCACAATTAAGAGCAGAGAACTGGAAAGAAAGAAATTTCAAGCCCTTTGGCCTCTACGTGCTAGCTATCTCGCTTTGGCCCAATTCTTTATGCTTCACTTTTCTCATCTGCAAAGTGGAACTAATTTTCTTCATACTTCAGGGCCGTAATGAGAATGATATGACACCACACGGGAAACGACTGCCTCCCTCTGAGCTCTTTGGCTAACATATGGCAGATATGTTAGACAGTTAGCTCACACTGCCTTTGTAACAAAAGGGAAGTTGAGAACGCTGAGGCAGAGCTGGTTCGGGCATGGCTTAACTCAAGGGCTCAAATGAGGTTTTCATAGTATCCCTCCGCCTTTTCCTTTGTTGGCTTTTTCTGTCAGACTCATTCTTCTTGAGTATGGCCCCAGTTGCAAGCAAATTCAGTACCTCAGGGAGATTGGTGTTCCCAGACTGATTTTTATTGGCCAGGCCTGGGGTGAGGGAGAGCCCCCTCTTCTGAATCGATGGGAGTAGGGTGGGTCCTGAAGAAAGCATCAATGTGCTAGAATCAGAAAAGGGGAAGGGGATATGCTAGGAAGGCCACAAAGATGTCTGCTACAAGCACTTAGTGCGTGAGAGGAATGTAGGAAGTGTTCAGTGAATGAAGACTTTGGGGTTCTGCGGTAGAATTTAAAACTTCCATGAGAGAGCAAGGTTCAATTCCTGGCCGGTGCATCTGATGCTTAGCAACATTTTTTTTTTTTTCCAAGTAAGGGCTTAGGTAATGCTATGATATTGAACAGATTTTAGCAGACCTTTCAGACCAAGACAGACTCAGAAGGCCTGGTGAGCTACTTCTGAAAATCAGACAGTAAAAAATTCTATAGATCATTAACAGTCTAATCTCCAACTGGCAATGGGGAAGGTGCAGGACTGTGGTGGGTAGCATTTTGTTGAATTGTGCATGGGGTGCGAGTTGGGTGTTGATTCAATGGCACTAATAGTGTAGTGGCTAGGAATCAGGCTGCAAACCGCAAGGTCAGCAGTTCGAAACTACCAGCTGTTCCGCGGGAGAAAGATGAGGCTTTCTGCTCCCATAAAGATTTACAGCCTCGGAAACCCTGTAGAGGGTCGCTATGAGTCGGAACCGACTCCACGACACATAACCAATAACATTATTTGTAATCAAGTGATAGGTGTTTACTTTTCTTACTCAGTTTAATGACATTTCAGTGGATCTTGGTAGAAGAAAACATTCTTCCCCACTTGCCCGTCCCCTGATTGTCTCATCAGCATAATTTTATTAAGCTCGAGATTTATGAGTTTTCTTCTTAGTTGCTGGGAAGTATGACTATCTACCTAGTGGGGTGGTTGTGGGAATTTTGTGATAGGTGATGCACATGAAGTATGCAGCAGAGGACTTGATGGAGTCTCATTTTGGTCATGGTGTGTTAGTTATGGTTATGTGTCAACTTGGCTAGGCAGTGATTCTCAGTGGCTTGGCAATTATGTAATGATGTAGTTTGGCAGTTATACAATGATGTAGTTGTCCTCTGTTTTTTGATATAATGTAATAACTTCCATGATGTGATCTGACCCTTGGGGGTGTGAGCTGCATTTAGTATTTATGAATGTTTTGGTATAGCTCACTGACTTTTGCTCACTCCAGATCCTACATCAGTTTGTCATTGTGTGACCTCTGGGTCTTGGGACTTGAGCCAGCGGCATGTTGTCTAATTTATGGATCTTGGTTATTTGTTGGCTTCTACAGATACATTAGGAGCTCTGGTAGCGTAGTGGTTACGAATTGTGCTGCGAACCGCAAGGTCAGCAGTTTGAAACTACCAGCTGCTCCACGGGAGAATGAGGCTTTCTGCTCCCATAAAGATCTACAGCCTTGGAAACCCTGTTCAGGGTCGCTATGAGTCGGAACCGACTCTACGGCACTTAACAACAACAACAATAGATACATTAATCAGGAGAAGCCCCCAGTCTGATACCTGACTTTCCAGCTTCTACAATTTCAGGAGCCATTTCCTCTAGATAAATCTCTCTCTGCCTCATGCTTCACTATATTTGTTTTTCTAGAGAATCCAGCTTAAGATATTTGGTACTGAGGGTGGTTCTAGAGAAACAAAACCATAAGGATGACTTTTTTAAATTGGTTCTGAAGTCTGGCTAATCTTAAAGGCACTAATGACTCTTTCCCCAGTAGTAAAGATAGCATAACTAGTCTATGACAACATGAGGTGGCAATATTGAAGGAGTCCTGGTGTGGCGCTGTAGGATAAGCGCAGCAGGATCGCCAGGTCAGTTTGAACCACAACGTTGACAGTTCTTGTTCCTTGGGAACCCTATACGGGGTCACTATCGGTCAGACCTGATTCGACAGCACTGAACAATAACAATGGGCAAAATATTGAATGATGCTGGAAACATCAAAAGAAGACAGAAGGAATACAGAGTCACTGTACCAAAAAGAATTGGTCAAATACTTGATCATTTCGAGAAGTAGTAAATGATCACGAACCATTGGTATTGCAGGAAAAAGTCCAAGCATCGCTGAATACAAATTCAAAAAAAGCTCCAAGAATTGAGAGAATACAAAAAGAAATATTTCAATAAACTGATGCAATACTGGAGGCACTTATTTGTATATGCTAAGAGATATGGAAGACACCTACCTGACCAACCAATTGGAAAAGACTCATATTTGTAACCATTTCAAAGAAAGGTAACCCAACAGAATGCACTGAACAGCATCATTAACATCACATGCAAGTAAATTTTGTTTAAAATAATTTAAAAATGGTTGTAGCAGTACATAGACAGGGAGCGGGCAGAAATTCAAGCTGGATTCAGAAAAGAACGTGTAACAGAGGATATCATTCTGAGGTCAGATGGACTTTGGCTGAAAGCAGAGAATACCACTTGTGCTTAATTGACTATGAAAAGTCATTTGCTGTGTGGATCATTCATTACAAACTATGGATGGTATTGTGATAATGGATAGTCCACAACATTTAATTGTGCTCATGAGGAACCTTTACGTAGACCGAAGAGGCAGTCATTAGAACAGAAAAAGGGGATGCTGAATTGTTTAAAACCAGGAAAAGTGTGTGCCGGGGGTGTATCCTTTCACCATACTTAATCTGTATGGTAAGAAAATAATCCTAGAACTGGATTGCTGTTGTTAAGTGCTGTCGAGTCAATTCTGACTCATAGTGACCCTGTATAGGGTTTCCAAGGAGCGGCTGGTAAGCTTGAACCACTGCCCTTGCAGTTCAAACCTTGTAGTCCAGTGCATTAACCCACAGCGCCACACTAGGACTCCAGAAACAGATTATAAGAAGAATGTGGCACTGGGACTGGAGGAGGAATCATTAACCACCTATGGCATGCAGATGACCCAACCTTGTTTCCTGAAAATGAAGGACTTGAAGTACTTACTAATGAAGATCAAAGACTACCGTCTTTAGTATGGGTTGCACCGTAATGTAAACAAAAATCCCCATAACTGAGTCAATAAATAACATCACGATAAATGGAGAAAAGATTGAAGTTGTCAGACTTTGTTTTACTTGGATCCACAATCAGTGCTCCTAGAAGCAACAGTTAAGAACCCAAGGCATTGCACTGGGTAAATCTGCTGCAAAAGATCTCTTTAAAGAGTTCACGAGCAAAGATGTCAGTTTGAGGACTAAGGTGTGCTTGACCCAAACTATGGTATTTTCCGTCACCTCATATTTATGTGGAAGTTGGACAATGAATAAGGAAAACCATACCACGGACTGCCTAAAGAACAAACCAACCTGTCTTGGAAGAGGGACAGTCAAAATGTTTCTTAGAAGGAGGTCATCATGCTTGGCAAAAAAGGAGGGTTATCAAAAAAGAGGAAGGCCACATTGGCAATAACAGTGGTTCAAACATAACACTTAGGAGGATGGTACAGGATCAGGCAGTGTTTTTGTTCTGGTGTGCATAATAGGGTAGCTATGAGTTGGAAGTGACTCCAAAGAACATAACAATGACAGCAACAAGAAGTATAATGGAACTGATTGGACATCCTGGTGCTACGGGCCAAGTGACAGCATTTAATTGGAAAGACAAAGTGGGCAGGGTCCTGCAATGGACGTCAGTCAAAGGCAGTAATCAGTAGCCTGACTCATGTGGACTGAAGGCATTGGCTACTTAGGCATTGTTGTGACACACAAACTGCTGTAAAATTACAACAAAGATTAATTTAGGATTAGTAATACGTGGAGCGATTTTGAAACAGGAGAGAAAGTCCCATACATCATTGCAATGAGGAAATCTGAGTGTCCACAAGAAGGGACTTTCAATTTCAAAAAATTGTTAAGTCATGGTCTCCTTTTGTATTTTGTGGGCAATGGCTTGGTGTGGGTCACTGGTCAAAAATGTGGTTAAGGGTGTCAGTCCATTGTTTGTCAAAAACAGCAACATTATTAGGACAGACTGGCTTTGCAAGTAATTTTTTTTTTTTTTACAATAGAACAATAAAGGTACCTCTGTTCACGCTTCCTTAGATCAGTGGCATCTTAAAGGTTTTGTTTGTCCTGTCCATTGATCATGCTTTTTGAAAACATGTGGAACTGACCTGGTTTGTCACATATATTCATTAACATCTTTCATAGTAACCTCAAGATGGCAGCCCTTTTGACCAATATGTGGTGTCCCTAGATGTGAAATACATAGATGGGAAATCTAGTAAATATTTACTTGTGTTAAATGGAAGAATGTCAGAATAGAGTGTCAATCAGTTCTCAGACTTGAACCACAAACCCTTGAATGAAGGGGAGGCTGGATCTACTTTAAGAAAGACTCCACTACATTGTAAACAAATGCATACTTCATTTTTCTCTGTCTTCTCCAAAGGAATCTATAGTCTCTTACAAGAGTGTTCACTGGAGGGAAAAAAATTCATCTGACTTTTTGGGATCAATAGGTATTACCTCTGTTGTTGTTACATGCCGTGGAGTCGGTTCCGACTCATAGCGACCCTGTACAGGGTTTCCGAGGCTATAAATCGTTAGGGGAGCAGAAAGCCTCATCTTTCTTCCACAGAACAGCTGGTAGTTTCAAACTGCTGACCCTGAGGTTAGCAGCCTGATTTGTAACCAGAGCTCCTTGCCTCTGAATTGACACTAATTCCAAGAAAGTGTCATGGTGGGTCCAGTGAGTCTACGAATCCATCTTGGAATAATTTCCCCAATTCCCACAATTAGAACCGACATACTCAGCAACTGGAGTAACCCCCACATTGGATCCCTGATATGTGGACTAAGCAGTATTCTTAGGAAAATAGTACTTCAAACCTAGAGGAGTTAAAGAAATGTGTCATCATCAAGGATTTGGAAGAATACAAGGACAGTGTCTCCCTCCATGTAAACTGCCCATTTGGCCATTTGGAGAATAGGGGATTATAGTAAATTTAACCTATTGCAACCTCTTTAGGTGTGGTTTCATTGCTTGAGTAAATTAATACATTTCTTGGTGACTAGTAAGCAGCTAAGAGTCCTGGTATGGTGCTGTAGAATAAGCACTGGACCTCAGGTTGGTTTGAGCCACAAGGTCAGCGGCTCCAACTCACCGGATGCTCCTTGGAAACCCTATACAGGGTTGCTGTGAGTCAGAACCAACTCAATGGCACTTAACAAGTAAGCAGCTAGGTCTCCTGGTGCAGCACTGTAGGATCAGCATTGGACTGCATACCTCAAGGTTGGCAGTTCAAACCCATCAGCAGCTCTTGCAAATGCTATACAGGTCACTAAGCGTCAGAATTGACTCAACAGCCCTTAACAATAAAATAAGCTGTCCAATACCTTTCTTCAATTCCAGTTTCAAAGGATTACCAGCAGCAGTTTCCCTTCAGTTAGCAAGGTCAGCAATACACCTGCACTGTACTACTTCAAGGTCCTATCAACTCTTCAGCCTTATGCTGTAATTTAGTCCTTAGGAACCCTGATGGCCTTTCCCTTCCACAACACATCATTCTTGGTCATTATACTGATTATTATGTTGATTAGAACTAATGAGAAAGAAGTATCATTGACTCTAGACTTACTGATATTTTTGGGCTTGTGTTAAGTGTTATTGTGTCAGTTTCAACTCATAGTGACCCTGCATAGGGGACCCAAGGTGTGACTGGTGAGTTTGAACTGCCGACCTTGTGGTTCAAACTAACCTTGTGATCCAGAAGGTGGGAAAATAAGCCAAACAAAAATTCAGGCACATTCTACCTTAGTGAAATTTCTAAGGGATTCAGTGGGACCTGTCATGGTATTCCTTCTAAAATAAAGGATATGTTGTTACATCTGGCCCCTCCTACAACTGAAACAGAATCCTGATGTGGTGCTGTAGGATAAACACTGGACTTTTAATCACAGGTCAGTTCTTCAAACCCATCAGACACTCCTCAGAAACCCTATACAGGGTTGCTATGAGTCAGAACCAATGCAACGGCACTTAATATAAGAAGATTTGGACTGTCCCTGAGCTGTGATGCAGTTGATCCAATGATAGCGCAAGTGTCTGTGACAAAGATGCAGCTTGGAGTCTTTGGAAGGTCCTTACTAGTGAATCACAACAGAGACCCTTAAGAGTTTTGGAGCAAAGCCCTGACATCTTCTGCAGATTAACTACTCCTGCAGATAAACCGTTTTTGGCTTTTTACTGGCCTTGTTGTTAAGTGCTATTGAGTTGGTTTCAACTCAGCGATCCTGTATGGGGTTTCCGAGGAGCAGCTGGTGGATCTGCACTTGGGGTCTTGCAGCTAGCTTGGTGGTATCACCGGCTGAACTCTGTCCCACTACCCTGTAGGAGCCCCCCATCTCTGGGCCCATCACCTCACAAAAGCACACGACAGAGCAGCCAGGTTGGGCAGCCAGTTTATTTTACACAGGGGGCTGTGTGTGGAGGCAGCGGGAGGGCCCCTGTCCTGCCTGCCTCAGCTCTTGGAGTAACGTCTCTGCAGCGATTCCCGGTAGAAGCGGAAGACATGTTGTGAGGCAGTCTGGGCTGCCACCAGGCACTGCTGGAACTGGGGGAGAAAGAGAGGGGTCAGTGCTGGGTGCCCATTCAAGACCCACACAACCTGCTTATCCAGAGGCCCCTCAACCTCACCTCAATTCCCAGAGCCCCCAAATCTAGCACCAATCCTGAGTGATGCAGGGGTGACGGAATTTCATGTATACTTCCTTATTTTCAGAGTCCCTGGGGGTGGATACAGTTAATGTGCGTGGCTGCTAACCAAAAGGTCGGAGGTTTGAGCTCACCCCGAGTTGCCTTGGTGAAACCCCCTGAAAACGCTATGGAGAAGAGTGCAACGCAGACATATGTGGGGCTGCCACAGCTGGAGTGGACTTGATGGCATCTTTTTGTTTTTTCCTCCCCCTCATTTCCCACTTCAAGGAACCCTGGTGGCACTGTGGGTTAGGTGTTGGACTGCTAACCACAAGGTGGGCAGTTAAAACCCTCCAACTGCTCTACAAGAGCAAGATGAGGCTGGCTAGTCCTGTAGAGAGACTTCCAGTCCAGGAAACCCTATAAAGGGTGGCTAGGAGTTGGAATCAACTAGAGGTGGGTTTTGGGTGGCACAATTGGTGAAGTGTTGGCCTGCTAACTACAAGGTTGGTGGTTCAAACCCACCAGCCACGCAGTGAGGGAGAGATGAGGCTGTCTACTTCAGTCAAGATTTACAATCTGAGAAACCCTAAGGAGCAGTTCTGTTCTGTCCTACAGGGTGGTGATGAGTCAAAATCAACTCAATAGCAGCGGGTTTGGTTTGGGTATCTCCCTCTTAGGGGCTCTTTGAGGGGAAGAAGAGCCAAGAAAAGGTGGCTAGGCCTTCCAGAATCCAGTTCTGAGAGCTACAGGACCTTAGTGTGGTGGACTTTCTGGCAGCTTTGAACCCCAGATTCTTAAAGCCAGTGACTTTTAGAGGTCACCAAATGTGAAAGACTCTGGAATTTTAAAGCCATTGTCCCTTTTAAGCCCCAAAGGTCTTAAGAGCTAAAGAACCAGAGATTCCAAATCTTTAATGCCCCATAGTCCTAAATTCATAGGAGGATTAAGGTTAGAAATGCTCTTGGAGACCAGTTGGCCCAACACTTTCCAAACTCTGTTTCTTCAGGTCCCAGAATCCTGACATGGTACTGACTGGGAGCCAGGGGCCTCCAGATGCCCACCCTCACCCTACCTTGTTTCAAACTGAGCTACTTCTTTTTTCTTCTATCTTATAATTTGGCTTCTAAGATTTTACAAAGGTTTCCATAATTGAAAAGTTTATAAATGCCCTCTTGGGGCCAGGATGGGAAGGAAGAATCTGGCTCCCTCCCCCAACCCCGTGCTGGTACCTCAGCATTGGAGTAGAGCCCCTTGGTGGTGGACATCAGCAGCTTTTGCTCCACACTGTCAAGTGCAAAGGTCAGGATTGCCCGGGCCACCTAGGGACAGGATAGAGGTGGTGAGGGGCTCAGGACGGTTCCTCAGAAGAGTCACACCTAAAGAAGAGTCCCTAGAGCCCCAGTCACCAGACCTCACCTTTCCCACAGTCATGTAAGGCATCCACATATCAAGTGTAGTCCTATCTTGTCGACACACCACCCTCCCCCCCGGCTTCTATGGATACCAGCTCTCTACCTTCCTTTTGTAGATCTGCTCCTCACCCCATGCCCCTCAGCCCGACCACCTGGGTCTGATGGGAATTTTCAAGTACAGTCTTCCTGCCCCATGGCAGCCACAGTACCAGTCATTTAGCTGGTGCCTCTAAGACTCCCAGTCTTCTATACTCTATACTGGAAGGGCTAGATGTCACTAAACTATTTCCCAGATTTCTTTGCCAATTGGGTTCTACCAGTAATCTGGAGGAAGGGAGAGAGAAGCATCATGGTCCTCACTCTTAACAGTGGCTGGTGCTATGGTGAGGCAGTTACCACAGTAACCATGAAGGTGGATAGGGTTTGATTTGAGATTTCAGCAGCCAGGGCAGAGGGAAGACATCTCTTGTCGCCCAGAACTGACAGGGACAATGTCTCCACAGCACAGAGCAGGCGTTAGCTTGTCCGTTTCACGCTTGAGCCACATGCATCTCTGGGCACCACCCCTTTTCCTCTTTGCTCCTCCAACACTGTTGTAACCAATTCCTTGCATTAAATTCCCTTTGCCGGGAGGAGATACCCTTAACGGTTTCTGCTTTACTGACGGGTTTGAGCAGTGGGCAAATCAATACTAGCTCAGAGCAACCAGATTCCTAGGACACTGTGAACTCAAGCTGATGAGGACAACTCATTTCTATTCCCCTTTGCTTTGGAACCTCTTAAGATAGAAGCATAAGGAGCTCTGCTAGCATAGTGGTTACGAAACGGGCTGCTAACCTTAGGGTCAGCAGTTCGAAACTACCAGTTGTTCCACAGTAGAAATATGAGGCTTTCTGTTCCTGTAAAGATTTACCGCCTTAGAAACCCTGTATAGGGTTGCTATGAGTCGGAACCAACTCCACAGCACGTGACAACAACAAGATAGAAGCCTAGAGCTCAGAGAACCAGGTCTAACCTCAAGAAAGATGCTGACCAGAGAGAATGAAGCTGAAGTACAGGAAAAAGCAGGGATGAGAAATGAAGCAAAGAAATTCTAAAGATGTTGAGGTCTTGGTTCTAGCGCCTCCCCTGTTCTTTCCAAGTTTAGTTAAGAAAAGCCATTAACTTTCCTGTTTGCTTATGGTAGTCTGAGTTGGGTTTCTGACACCTGCAGCTGAATGGATCCTGAGGAATACAGTAGAGACTGCCAACTGGGATCAAAGGGACACAAGCCAACTGTTTAAAGCCTTCACCTACCTTTTCTTGCTTGACTGTGGGATCGAGCACAAGATTCCCATCATCATCCAGGGCACAGGTGATCCCACAGAAGAGGGCTCGCATGGGCACGCCTGCATCCACCAGCGCCATGCAGGCAGCATTCAGGCAACAGGCCAAGAGCTGAGTATCACGGAGAACAGTTAAGAAGAATTGGTAGTGTACGGCTGGCCAGCAGAATGTAAGTTCTGGAATGGGGAATGCTTTGCTAAGCATAGAAGCAGTAAAGTCACAAATGGAAAATTGGATTGATTTGACAGTATAAAAATTAAGAATTTCTAGATGTTATAAGGGAGCCCTGGTGGTGTAGTGGGTTATGCACTGGGCTGCTAACCGCACAATCAGAAGTGCAAATCCATCAGCCGCTGTGTGAGAAAGATGAGGCTTTCTGCTCCTGTCAAGATTCATAGTCCTAAACAGGGTCACTATGTGAGTTGGAACCAACTCAATGGCACACAAGATGTTATGAGCTAAGAACTATATGCTTTTATACTAGATTGTAGGAGTTCTGGTATGGCACTGTAGGATAAGCACTGAGATGCTAACTGCAAGGTCAGCAGTTCAAACACAGCAGAAACCCTAAAACAGGGTTTCTATGAGTCAAAACTAACTGGACAACACTTAGCACCACCACCAGACTGGGTTGTAGTAGTTTAATATGAAGATTAACACTAGAATGGAAAAATTAAAAGAAGGACCAAACAGACCTGAAAAAGTAGAAATATAAATGGGAACCGATGAAAAATGGTCAATCTCATGAATGAAAATTGTGATTAAAAAAATTTTTTTTAAATGGGATCAAATGACCCGCTTTGCCACTTCTCAGCTGTGTAACCTTGAGCACGTTACTTTCCTTCCCTCAGCCTCAATGTCCTTCTCTCTTAAATGGGAATCAAAATGATATTCAATCAAGTGTGTACCAAAGTTTATGCCCAGCATCGTTAGGGAGAGAGTCCTGGTGTGGCACTGTGGGTTAATGTGCTGTACTACCAGGTTGGTTTGAACTGTGAGGTCAGTGGTTCAAGCTCACCAGCTGCTCCTCAGAAACCCTATACAGGGTCACTATGAGTTGTAACTGACTCAATGGTACTTAACAATTGTTTGGGATACTAAAGGCCAGACGGGAAGAACCCTTCCAAAGGCACTTAGAGAGGAACTGGCAAAGTCCGACCTAGAACTGTCTGGAACAGGCAGCCCATCCCAGGTGATGGAGGTAGCAGGGCCACGGAGGAAAGTCACACACAGTCCAGGCTGAGCAGGTCCACAGCACAGTGGGAGGCCTGGAGCCAGCCCTTTCTTCCTCATGTCTAGTACAAATAAGAGCCCAGCCTGGCCTCGGACCCTTCTGAGCAACGGATTTTCTCTCTGTAACATGGGGTGTGTGTGTGTGTGTGTGTGTGTGTGTGTGTGTGTGTGTGTGTTCATCCAGCTCTCCTATTCCTCCTACCTATATAGTGTCTGCCCAAATGCAGGCTCAAACACCAGTAAGGCTCCTCTAGAAATGCCCATGTCTGGTCTTCACTCTTAGCCTCTGTTCCCAAATTGTAGGGCTCATGCCAGGCCAAGCTCCTGCTCCCACTGCTCAGTCTTCCCCAGCCCCTGGAACCTCAAACCCAAGGTAAGTGCAGAGTCAAGGTCAATGGCACGGCCATTGCTCTGCCTCTGCTGACGTCAGCTGTGTGCCCTTGGGCAAGTGACTTCCCCTCCCTGGGTCTCAATTTCCACACCTGAAACACAGGAACACACTACCACCCATCTACCAGGGTCCTTGGGCTTGAGTTCCTGGCTCAAGTTCACTTTGCAGCTATTCCACTTTGCGGTGCCTGAATCTCCTCATCTGGTGTCTGTACAGCAGAGCTGCCATTGAGGATGGACTCAGCTAATATGGCTAGGGCTCTTAGATCAGGACCAGACACGGGGCAAGTACCTGCCCTGTTTGCTGTTCTTCTTCAGCAAGCTGGTGCACGCCAACCACTTGGAGGTTTTCTGGCTAGCAGAGAAAGCGGACATGCCAGTCAGCAAGGGACACAATTTGAGGAGATTCTAGAGGGTGGCCAGGGAAAAAGGATACAGAGCCAGCATCACTGATCACCTGCAGCACCACGGTGATGGAGGTGCGGGGGTGCAGCGCCCCCAGAACCACTGCCTCACAGGTGTTCCTGATCAGCCGCTCCCGGCTCTTCTCGGCTACTCCTGTGGGAGTGCACGGAGAGGGTGAGGTGCTTCCCTCCCACTGGCTGACCTTCCTCCATACCTCAAGTCTTCTGGGAAGGGCTGCCCAGCGGTGCCACAGGACCCTGCATGGCTGATGGAGGATTCCCAACGGGAAGGAGGGCTGACAGCCATTCAGACACCCCTGCCACTTCCCGGGCCGCTGAGGGAGCCACCAGGAGGAAGAAATCTGGGTTTCCAATGTGTTAATGTTGTAGCCCATTCTATCCTGGTGGGTCCAGCCTCAGGGTGGGGGGAAGAAGTAGAAAGAAGGGGACATGGGACCAGGAAAGAAGAGGGACAGGCAGGGGGATGGAGAGATGAGCAAAAAGTGACAGCAACTGAGGCACAGCGACAGAGCGAGCGGGAGATCCAGGGGAGAGAGGTCTGCCCACCTGGCAGCCCGATCTTCGGCCTCAGGAGCACCTCCAATGTGGCTTTGTTGAAGATCTCCTTGCTGACCTTCACCTCGGCTGGCCCGTACACACCAGCCAGGACGGAGGTATCACCTGGGGAGACAGCAGGAGAGCCCTCACTCACGGTCCCTGCTTCTGGGGCCCAGTGTGGGTGCTTCACAGGGTGGGCACAGCGCCAGATGACCCCACCCTCGATTTGTGGGCAGTGATGCTCTGAGAACTCCTTCACCTCTCTGTCTCTGCTTTCTCATCTGGAAAATAAGCATAATGATAATATAGCAAAAGCTGTGAACACTGGAACTTGTAGGAGAAGGAGAATACACATATTTTCCACTAAAAGGAAAGATGGAAAAGGCGTTAAGACTGCACCCTGTCAAAGATGGAAGCCTTGGGAGACCCGGAAAAACAAAGGCAGTCCCACTGAGCTCTGGCTCTCACAGGTTTCACGTTCTCATGAGGATTAAACGAAATCACCCACATTAGAGACCTGAACAGTGCCTGCTCCCTGCTGAGGGTGCAGGGTTGTTAGCTGCTGTCCAGCGGGCTCCAACTTGTGGCCACCCCATGTATACTGGAAACGCCTCAAGCCTTTTTTGCATCCGCGGGTATGCTATATGGTCACTGTGTATTCCCAGTGCCTTCTGATGACAATATTCGGATGTGATCCACAGGTCTTTCTTCCTAGTATGTCTTAGTTCAGAAGCTGTCCACTATGGCAGACTCTAGAGGTATTTGAAATACTGGCGTTATAGCTTCTGGCATCATAGGAACGTGTCAGCCGCCACAGCGTGATAAACTGACAGATGGGTGTGGAAGTATGCAACAGATTTTAGCTAATGGTATTTAACTTTATGGGAAGTTCTTCCTGAGAGCTAACCTGTTTCCCTCTTGCAGCAGCTGGTCTCCACTTCTCCTTCCAAAGCTTCTTCCCCCAGCCCAGCTCTCTTTCCTTAGGCATTCATTTCCAAACTCTACAGGAGGTGGGACAACAGGGATAAATCTGACAAAAGGGATAAATACGCATCTGGGGTGGATTCTGGTTTATTTTCCCCAGAGTGGGTGTGGTCAAGGCAGGGAAGAGAAGGCAAGACCTGGGAAATCAAAAAGCCTCAGTTCCAGTCTTCTCTGCTTCAGCCAGGCTGTGCAACCTCAGGTTAATCTATTCTCTCTGGGCCTCAGTTTTACTGTCTTCAAAATGAGAAAGTGGGATGAGAATAATGGCTCTACAGGACCCCAAACTCACAGATAAGTATGTGTGTGGGTGTACAAAGACAACAAAACCTTCACAAAACAGCTCTTTGCCATGACCACCTGTGAGGTACTCTGCTTGATAGTATCCACTCTCAAGGAGCCCTGGTGGCACAGTGGGCTAGACACTGGCTGCTAACTGTAAGGTCAGAGGTTCAAATCCACCAGCTGCTTCATGGGAGAAAGAGGAGACTGCCTGCTCTTGTAAAAGATCTCCAGTTTCCGAAACCCTACGCAGGGTCGCTGTGGATCAAAACTGACTCGGTGACTTGGTGGCAGAAGATACTGATACTCAGGGCAGGGCTTGGGTCCTGGAGATTTCAAAGCTTCCCAGGTGGTTTTAATGTGCAGGCAGGGTGGCAACCCTCAGTGTGAACACACGGAGCTCTAACGCAGCTCTTTCCCTCTGCCCAGTGTTCAAGCCACACAACAGCTTGTCTCACTGAGAAGAACATATTGAAATAGGTTAGATTTTCTTGCTATAGCAAGCACAAATTGTGACAGATGGTCTTGATCATCTGCCACAGAATGTGGCTTGCATTTTAGCACAGCTTTTAAAATATTGATATGCACCATCCTATTTAAGATTACACTCCCTCTCTAGCACACTCTGGGCTGCTACACGAAAGGTTGACAGTTCAAACTCACCAGCTGCTCCCTGGAACCCCATATATGGGTTCACTGAGTTAGAACCAACTTGATGGCCCACGACACCACTACCACGAGCACACTCTCATCCCCTTCCCAACTTTATTTTACTCCATAGCATTATACTATGCAGCCAGTCCCTGAGTTACATGCGCCTTCAAGATAATTCCTACTTGCCCCTTAATGTTATGTAATTTTGCCCTCAGTTTGAAACCACTGAATCAACCCCTAAAAGAAACAAACAAAAAACCATCATACCACTATCTTCTAGTCAATTCCACACTCATAGTGACCCTATGGGAGTCCTGGTGCAGAAAGGTGAGATAAGCACTGAATTGTTAACTGCAAGGTAGGCATTTCAAACCCACCCATCACTCGCTGGAAACCCTATGGAGGATCACTATGAACTGGAACTGACTCAACAGTACTTAAGAAGTGACCCTTTGTAGGGCAGAATAGAACTGCCCCTGTAGGTTTTGCAAGACTGTAAATCTTTCTAGAATCAGACTGCCACATCTTTCTCAGAGCGGTTGATGGGTTTAAACTGCCAGCCTTTCTGTTAGCAGCCCAAAGCTTAACCCACTGTACCACCAGGGCTGCCAGTAAGTCCTTCATCGCAATCACCTTCACTTGTTGCCACCTGCAGCTTTTAAATCACTGGCAAGGCCAGGAGCCTTTTCTTGCACTGAAAGGCTAAACAAGAACTGCACACACCTTGTCTGACTTACCTACAAACACACAGGAAGGAACCTAGTTCCAATCGTGCGTTTTAGAATGTAAATCTTTTAAAGCTGAGATTTTTTTTTTTTTAAAGTCAGTTTTGTTCATTGACTGGGTTAGGGAGTCTAGGCTAGTTTGAAAGGTAATTAGCTTATGGAAGGAGATTTACTGAATAAATATGACTCGCTCCAAGAGATGTGTATGCCAGCAAAGAGATCTTTACACAGCTAGTGGGGCTGGGATGGGGAAAAGGGTGGAACATCTCTCTCGATCTGAGGAGTAAGTATTTGAGTTAAAGACGGCCACAGTTCCATCTAGTCCGTGGTAGTGACCTGCCAGTCTACAGTGTTTTTTATCCAATGGTAGGTTTTCCTCAACCTGGGTTATGGAACAGGACGCCCCCCCTCCCCTAAGTATGTGGGAGGGTGAGGAGGCACCCAGTCCACTGAGTTATTTACCCTGGACCCTGCTAAGAAGGTTTTTTGTATTTTGCAATATTCATTCTTACGGCTAGGTCTGCCATTCTCATTCTGAGGTATTTACCGGGGTGGAGGAATGTTCCCACATCTAGACGGAAGGGAGAGATGTATCCCGGCCCACAGTGAGTTCTGCATCAGTACAAGGGAGCCGTTTACCGGCTAGTAGCGCGGTGACTCCGTAACATAAGCACCGGACTGAGAACCACAAGGTCTGAAGTTCGAGCTCGCCAGCCGCTCCGCGGGAGTAAGATAAAAGCATTTTCTGCTCCCGCGAAGGTTTAAAGGCTCGGAAACCCTATAAAGGGTCGCTATGAGTCGGAACCGACTGGCACTTAACACAACAATAGAGGAGATGGGGCCCTTCGTTGCACGGTACTTTACAGTAAGTCCTTCCAAACACGATATGCGCGAACGCTACCCGGGCAGCATAGCGCTGGATTCTTACCTTGCAAGAAAGAGGCTGAGCCATCCGGTCGGGAGAGCAGATTCTGTTCGCAGGCAAAGTGTCGGAGGCTGCAGCCGAGGCCCCGAGAACCAGCAGCCTCAGCCGAGGCCCCAGTCTCAGTGTGCATTTGGCTTTCTATCTGAGTCGCCCACTCCATCGCTCCGGATCCCACGTGCACTCTGCAGCCCACACAGCAGCTTCCGCCCAGCAAGGCGCGCTTGCGTACAGACTACTTACTTAGTACGCATGCGCCCATCTCCGGGAGCGACGTCAGGTGTTCGCACGTGTCTTCGCGTTTACCAACATTCTGACCCCGCCCACCCCCGCCTCTCAGTTCCAAGAAAGCTATTGGAGAGTGGAGAGGAGGGGGCGGGGCTTGCCGGGGGCTCGTTCTTTTTAAGGCCTTCGGGCCCTAAAATTTCAAGACTCTGATTAGGTTGCCCTCTACTTTGCCTGTTAAGGAAGAAATTATTAATGAAGCGGCAGGAGGCTATTTTGGAAAGTTATATTGTTATGTCCACTCGTCTCTGCCTCCTTATCAGCCCGGAAGCGGAAGCAGATGGTTTCTTGGCAGGGTGGTGCAGGCTTCTGAGTCAGGCTCCTGAAGTGGCAGTCCCTAGTCTAGTCTAGGCGACTGGAGGACTACCGAGCGACTGCTAGGAAAGATGGCGATGGCAGTAGCCGCGGCCAGGGTCTGGGGGCCAACTCCAGGCCTGGGCAGGGCCGCTCTCCTACTTCTGCAGCGACTGGGGTCTCGGGGACTTGCCAGCTCTGTGAGTACCTGGGGGACCCCGAGGAATTTTCTCTAACTAGCAATAGGAAGGTAGACGCTTTCTTCAGAATATGGGGTCCCTGCAGGGAGTGAAGAAAGGACAATCACAGAAGGCACAAGGGCTGGGAGACCCACTTGGAGAGGACACTAACGGGAACAGCTTCCACTTTTTTGTGCGAAGAAAAGCAAGACAGCGCCTTCGTGGATCCTGAGGGAGGGGAGCATCTCCTGAGTTGTCCCCCACTCCCGGGAGTCCTTTTGGAGGAGGAGACAGTAGTGAAACTACTAAGTGAGGAAGTCTTTTACTTTTGGGTGAAGAATCTCCTTCATAAAGGAGGAAAGAGCGATCAGATACCCCTGTCTTGGGCTTTTATAAATTCAAACTAGACTCACTGTCAAGTCGAATCCGACTCATAGGGACTCTATAGGACAGAATAGTAACTGACCCCGTAGGGTGTCCGAGACGATCAATCTCTACTGGAACAGACAACTTTAAATTTCTCCAACAAGTGGCTGTTGGGTTCCCACCGGGGACCTTTCGGCTAGCAGCCGAGCGCCTTAATCAGTGCGCCGCCAAGGTTCTTTTGAGCTTCTATACCTATGATCATTGCCCTCGAATCCAATTCCAATTCATAACGACCCTATAGGACAGAGTAGAAATGCTCTACGAGGATTCCTTTGCGCTTTTCTAAACCCCAAACCAAACCGATGGCCGTCTTATTCGATCCCAAGTCATACCGTGCCCATGTAGGGTTTCCGAGGCTGTAAAACTATGGGAGCAGAAAGCTCACCTTTCTCCAATGGGTAACCCACTACACCAAGTATCCTGTGTTTCCTTGCTGCAGTTTGTTGCTACAATTCTCATAAAAAATTAATCGTGTGAAAAGTCATTTATTTCTTTTCTCCCGTGATTGAGTGTCAGGACAGGGATCTGATCTGTTCGGTCACTGCACAGAGGAGATGCTCAATAAAGATTGTTGTCAATGAAGGTTCTAGATAGCATACTTTGTCCACATTTCCTAAAACACTGGAGATTTGCTTTGCTCTTTGTCAAAAGGGTCAGAATCCTTTGGGGCAAATGCAGAGAACAAGTTCATCCTGCAGACATCTCCTAGTTTAGAAAGGTCCTGGGATTCAAAAGAACTTTGAACGAAAATTCTGCAGATGAGCAGATGAGAAAGTATTGGTCAAGAGGGCAGGCTCTGGAGCCAGGCTGCATGGGTTTGTTGCCCTGCTCTACCACTTTCTAGCTGTGTGGTCTTGAGCAAGGTACTGCATCTCTCTGGACCCTAATTTCTCCCCATATAAAATGGGAATGCTAATGGGCCACTTCATAGGGTTGCTGTGAAAATTAAATATGTAAGCAGCTCTGGTGGCAAAATTGGTTTCGAGGTGGGCTGTTAACCAAAGAGTCTTCGGTTCAAATCCACCAGCCATTCCACGGGAGAAAGATGAGGCTTTCTACTCCTTTAGAGATAGATTTACAGTCTTGAAAACCATGATACAAGATCGCCGCTGTGAGTCTGGACTGACTGGCTGGTACAATAGGAACAAGAACTTGTTAAGTGCTCTTCCAACTCTTAGTGACCCTGTATAGAGTTTCTGAGGCTGTAAATCTATAAGGAAGCAGAAAGCCTTATTGTTCTCTCAAGGAGCAGCTAGTGGACTCGAACTGCTGACCTTGTGGTTAGCAGTCCAGTGCTTATCCTGTAGAGCCACTGCACTTCTAAGAACTGAGCCTGGTATATGATTAATACAATGGAAATGTTGGTTGCTGTTGAAAGTAAGGGTGAAGGGAAGGGACAGAAACAGACCTTGGAGATGGAGAGAACAGAGGGGACCTTATCTGTCTTTCACAGTCCAATTCAAATGCTGCCTCTTTCATTTTCATTGTCAGTTACTGTTGAGTTGATCTAGACTCGCAAGGGCCTTTTGGAGAAATCTCTGGAGATCTTGTGGGTTTGGGTCTGACCCTCCATAATGAGTCACCTCTGATTCACAGCAACCCCCTGACAACAGAACGAAACACTCCCCTGTCCTGTCCTGTACCACCCTCACAACTACTATGTCTGAACCCATTATTACAGGCACTATGCAATCCAGCTCCTTGTGGGTCTTCTGTTTCCACTATGAGAGGAAGAAGCTCTGTATAGGGAAAAACTGGAGGAAAGGAAAGAAAATGGGCTGGGAGAGGCATGGGCACTTGGGAAGGGAGTCACCTGAAGCAAGTAAAAGCAAAAATGTTGGTGGGGCAGGATTAGGGTGAACCTGTCTCTTGTCTTGGGCTATTCTCTTCTGCAGCCTTTTTTTTTTTTTAAAGCACTCACTTTCTTAACAGCTGATCTCATCCCGGGAGCCCATTGGCTGATCCTGGAGGTGGGAGGTGGGCAGGCCTGGAGCAAGTATAGAGAAAGGTCATTTGTGGCTGATTAAATCTGTTTCCTCCTTA